TCAGTCTGGATTGTGTGTGTAAGGACTGGGTACTGGCGTGACGAAAAATTCATATGAGTACATGGACCCGTACACTACCTTCATTTAAGCTGGTGACAGAGTAGCTCGGCAGGGCGAGGGGGTGCGTGATGGATTCTTATGCGTCCTCCTTGCCTATTGTAAATGTTTGCCTTAGTGTGCATTTGGGTACTAAAGCTAAAAAGCACTGCTGGCCTTCAAACTGGAATATGTCTTATCCCAGCTCGATCCAAGGGAGATCAGGTACCTTCGTTGGTTTGAGTGTCTAGGCAGGCTGCTGGTTCTGGTGTGAGTTGCAGGCTCTGCAATCTTGGACCAGTTCTTCTATTTGTTGCGTCATTCCAGGCCAGAACAAGGCTTCGCGTGCCTTTTGCTTGCACTTGACGATGCCCATGTGGGACTCATGGATCAAAGCGAGCGTGTCACACCTCATTCTTGGTGGCACAACAATTCTCATGCCCTTGTAGATGATATCATCAGAAATTGCAAGCTCATCTCTTGTGTTCCAGTACTCGCGTACGGCACGTGGTGTTTCTTGTTTGGTATCTGGCCAGCCCTTCAAGATCACNGGAATGCAGCTCATTCAGCTCATCTGCTGTTTTCCTCTGGAACTCACTGTAGCGTGTGGGTGTGACGGAGATGTAGTCTACCATATTGATGACAACTGGTTTGATGTCAGGCTCTGTATTGGGTAGGTTGGCTCGGCTGAGTAGGTCTCCTATTGGGATTTCTTTGCCTGGTTTGTATGTGACTGTCAGGTCGTGTGGCTGCAGTTTGAGAAGCATGGACTGCAACCTCATGGGAGCCGACAGTAGAGGTTTGGAGAAGATTGCCTGTAGCGGCCTGTGGTCACTTTCGACAGTTACAGACTTGCCGAACACATAGTGATGGAATTTTCGACAAGAATGGATGATCGCAAGCATTTCCTTCTCGATCTGGGCATAACTCATTTCTGTCGGTGTCATAGCTCTGGATGTGTAGGCGATTGGTTTGCCTTCTTGGAGTAGCACTCCACCAAGAGCATAGCTACTTGCGTCACACTGTATGGTTGTCTCTTTGCGGACATTATAGTATGCTAGAACTGGAACAGCACTACAAAGCTCTTTGAGTTTGGCAAAGCTTTGTTTCTGAGGCTTGTCCCAGTGGAATGTGACATCTTTCTTCATCATTTGGCGAAGTGGCTGATCAACTTCACTGAGATTTGGGATGAACTTTGCCAGGTACTGGATGCAGCCTAGGAATCTTCGGACGTCGTCCTTTGTCTTTGG